AAGAACCAAAGTGCTGTTGCTGTTAAAGGTGAGAATTTCTGAAAAACTCATGCTATTCTTCATAAAATGTGATAAGAGATAATTTAGTTATATAATTCATTTATATTTTTTTGGTGCAGATAAAAATGAAGCCAACAGCCAAAGATCGAAAGGCAACATTCCCCTTGATCTGAAAAAGTTGAAACGGAATGGTGAGAATTTATTTTTAAATGCATTTGACATGTCTTTCCAATATTTTGACAGCTTCCTCAGTGAATTAATTTTTTTCCAGCAGATGATATGGCGTTGTATGAGAGTTTGAAGGACTATATTTTGACTGAAGAAAAGCTGGTTGAGAGCAACTTTCCTGTGAAGCACCCAGAGAGACCAGGCTGTGTTGTTCTTTTTGCTGACAGTAAGAGAGGCAGTGCAGACCGTAAGTGAAAACATCATGCTCCTTGAAAGGACAATTTGATGCTATTCTCATATTGTATCACTAGAGGGCGCACCTGACCTGTACTGTACTTGGAACGAGACTTTCTTCTCTCAGCACATTTCACTCTAATTATGTCCTTTTGCTATTGTATTGACTAAAGCCCTCAAGAGGATCTGCTGTCGATGTGGAGCTACATACTCTGTGAACCAAACGGGCAAACACACCCGTAAAGAGGAGTGTAATTACCACTATGGGAAAGGAGTTACAAAAAAAGGTGAGTATACCGTAGTTTATGCTTTGAAAACATCCCAAGTGTTTATTATACAGCTCAAGCTTTAAGATCATTGTATATATTTTTAAACTTTTACCAGTGCCAGGTGGAGTGGAGACCCGCTACAGTTGCTGTGAGGGAGTCATGGGAGCACCTGGATGTCAGGTGTTTCAGGTAGGAAAAGACATAGTGAGGGATTATTCTATAACTTAATTCTCTCATTTAACATCCTCAAATGAATTGGTGAGTAGATGTGGGGGTTTTTTGTTTTTAAATATTTTTCTTTCTGTTTTTTTGCCTTGTCTTCACCAGTTGCACATCCATGATTCCCTCAGCCTTGATGGGTTTGTTTCGACCGTCTCCAGACATCCCTCAGATACAAGCTGTCCTGGGGTCTACTCCTTGGATTGTGAAATGGTGATCAGCTTTTTTATAACCTTCATGTTGAGCACCAAACCCCAGCTTAACTCCAAATATAACCATAAAACATTTAAGAGCGCACTGTACAAGATTTTACTGATTTTCTTTTTTATATGTTAAGCTGGCCTTGAGTATGCAGTAAAAAACATTGTGTAATTTTTTATCCTCAGTGTTATACCATTCATGGTCTGGAGCTATCCAGAGTGACTGTGGTCAACTCTAGTCTGCAAGTCGTCTATGACACCTTCGTCAGACCTGATAATGAGGTCATCGACTACAACACAAGGTAATATTAGATACGTAACTGAGTTTTTTCTCTTTCTTCCAAGGACCCAAAATGATTTGTACAGCTGGTTAAACTCTGTCTCCCCTCTGTTAATAATCCAAAACGGATATATAAGACCTAAAAATTGATATTAAAGCATTTGTACTTTGTTTTCAATTAGATTTTATAGAGGTAATATGTTATCACACAGTTAAAGCAGGTGTTATGCATTACAATATAACAGATATTATGTATAAAGCTCAGTACTGTCACAGGGTGATGAACTAAAGATAATGATACAACTACAGTATTTATCAATGTATTTTTAATCAGCCTGTCTCAATAGCTTGTCTGACACTTGTCAAGATTTTCAGGCATCAGTGAGGAAGATGTGAAGGGTAACCACACCTCCCTCAGAGAGGTACAGGAGACCTTATTGAGCTTCATCAGCGCCGACACCATTCTGATTGGACACGGCCTGGAAACAGACCTCTGTGCCCTGAAGGTGACTACTATTAGTTTTCTCCAACATTATTCTTTAAACTTATTCCAGCCTCTGTTCCAATCCTGGCTTATCAGTGATTTTATTGAAACAAGTACAGGATTTTTTTAATCCAAGCTGTGAGCATGTTTGCATGAAACAAAAAAAGTTTTGTAACAACCAGTCACATTTAACATGGCCACCTGCTAAATTTTAAGTTAAATTTCCCTGCAAAGAGCCTTAAATGTTATTTTAAGAGTCCCTTTACGTAATTCATGTTTTATTATTCATCTTTCAAATGCCATGTTTTCTGTGTTTATTTTATTTTATTGAATTTAAAACTTTTTTTCTTAGTCCATGTAATTATTTAGCAATAGCGTCATCATCGTTCAGATGGCAAATCTTTGAGAAGGTGTGCTCCTTTTATAATATGGATTAATAACCTGGATGTACGTAGAGGGTGTTGACAAACTAATGTAAAACCCTCATGAGAAAGTACAAACTCTGTTTTAACTTGCCAACTACAATCCAAACAGGTTTGCAACTTTGGGTACTAGCAAGTTGAATGCCAAGTTTCAGCTTTTTACAGCTGTTAAAGGGGAAGTTTGACTTTTAAAAGCAACATTTTAAAAGGACAAAGCTATAAAAATGGCAATACTGTTTAATATGTCAAAGGAAGAGGAGCTCTGGACCTTTTAAGAGTACCGACCAAATTGTGTCTGTACTACTGAATACTGATCGCTTTAAATCAACTGGTGCCAAATGTCTGTACCTAAGAGCACATCTGAAGAATGCTGGGTTTAGACAAGAGGTGCAAGGTGCCCCAATGCCTCGAAGCTAGCCATGGAACTTTGAGGCTGGCAGTGAGCTCTGCAGAGCCACTGGATTCAACTTAAGACAGGAGGTAGACACGCCCCAAGCTGGTAAGCCAGCCACAGAGCTCCTCTGACAAAAACAGTAATTTTACCTTGCAGAACTCAGGAGCTGCTGATCTACTGCTGTCTCGATTGGTTATTTTGTGGTCTTGTGTGTGTGACTTGTAATTAATAATAAATCACAAGATAAAAT